AAATTATTTTTATAACAATTAAAATACACAACTTAGGGTGTCATGAGTAGCATACTTTTCTACCATGTTAAACATGACCTGTGAATTTGACAAGAAACATAATTTACATTGATTTAACACTATTCGGAGCTGGTGATTTGCATTTTTAACACTCTTGGAAAAATAATAAATATGTTCTGAACGTCCAAAACCATATCAGATTTAACATGGATCTTGGGATGAACCCTTGTAGAACAATCCATCTGGACACTCGTGAATCGTGATGATTCAGCTCAGCCAGCTGAATCATTATAATACAATAAAAAAAATCTCATTTTGAATGCAGGTCAGCCGGTAGAAACGTGGTATAAAAGCGACTGAATCTACTAACTTCAAACATGTTTTGCTCGAGCGAACATCTCATTTCACTATTGTTGGGGCTGGATCTCTTGGTTTTTGTCTAAATTTTCATGTTAATATCGACTTATCAGAATGTGAAGACGGTACGTTTGGTGCCAATTGCAAGCAGACTTGTCACTGTGCATCAGGAGGAACGTGCAGTAAAGATACAGGAAAATGTAGCAATGGTGAGAGGAGTTATTGTATTAAATAAAATTGAAAAAAAGGTCTAACTAGCAAGTTCATTCATGTGTGAAGAACAATTAAACCCAGTCTTTTTTTATCGCAATTAAGTTGTGATGTGAATAAAAAAAAGTGCTCTTACAATTGAACTTCATGTTTATGTTCTCTTGTCAGGTTGTGCGGCAACATATTCTGGAAGTAACTGTCAGTGCTCAAGTAAGATAGAATTGGAAAATAATCAGTCAGTGTTATCATACGATTGACAAACAGACATCAGAACACTTTGGCCAAAAGTTATAGTTTATACAAAAATCAGTTGAAACAAGGGGGTATTTTTCACCCCAGCAGATTGTACTTTTCATTCAGATTTTGTTATTAGCGTCTTGTGAACGATGTAGTTAATTTAGGCTATTCTAGGTGTTGTATTTAACTTTAGAAGTCCAACCGGCATGTTTGAAATCACATGCGTTCGGTGGCATAGCATAAGGGGATTTTATAAAGACACAAAGCTTTGTTGTCTGGATTGATACATTTTCCATTGCGACTCCATAATGTCAGTGATGCGAATCGATTCATGGGCTTCAAGCTCAGAATGATGTGTTTGGGCCTGACTTAACGTCATGGAACCCTCATCAACCAAAAGTCATTACCCAAAAAACATAACCGTTTTTTTATTATATAAACATGTATTTTAGGTTTGGGGGAACAGTGCGGCTAATTTAGTTTGTTTTTTTGTTTTGTTTTTTTTGTCTGAATGTAACTTGAAATTCGAAATTACAAGTAGCCGCTGACATGCAAGTGAGGCACAGAGTTTCATAGGATTGATCTCCGCCCGTAACGTTTGGAAAGTTACATCCTTTGGTGCCACCTGCGGCCATATTTCCACTGCATCTAGTATTTTGGAAGGAACTGTGACAATTTCTCACAATTTTGAAGAAAACAAGGAGCTTATACAATTTTGAACAAGGGAAAATTGCATGTAGAAATTTGTTTCTGCCTGTACTCCATTATGAACAAAAGTCGAGATTGAAAGCTCTGCTTTTTATTTATGTATTTTTGCCTTGTTTATGGGTGATACATTTTCTGTCATGACCCCACAATGTCAATGACGCGTTGAATCAATTCATA